ACAACTACTCTTATCTGGGAAAGAGGGAAGATATACATAAGTGAATCTGCTTTTAAATAATTTAGATGCATTTTCTAATTTTTTTTAAGTCTACAACAAAACATTTGGGGGCAAAGATTTTTCAAGGTTGTTAATTCACCAGAAACAATTTCAATGAAGTATTCTTCAGATCACCGAGGACAGACATAAACTTTTAGGGAGGGAGTGCATCCTTGGCAAACACCACATATAAATACGACTCCAGATAATTACCCTGCCAACATCTCATAATGAACAGTGCTTTAATAACAGGGTCAAAGCCAGCAAAACACCCTGCTGGATGAGCCATCATGATGAAGGCTGGGTTTACTTAAGGACTGTAGAACCACCCTTGTCCTCCGCCTTAGTGAAGGGACAGGGTCTTTATTTTACTTAAGTCAAAAACCATGACAAGTTTGCAGAAGATCTAGAAATAGGTTCAAATATTAAGTTATGAAGCAGAGAACACGGGGGTATATGTGCTTTAAAAAGCTTCTCACAAATGCTGTACAAGATGTAAATCTGCAAACAGATGAGGTGAGAACACTAATCTCCAATATAAAAAGAAGGCAATAATTTACATTACTGAAATGATACTGAACCAAACAGTTCTAGAGACTGCAAAGAGTTAACTGTTTCCATGTCAGCATCGTGATTAATTTGACAAATGGACTGTTTCCTCCCTTTTGTGAAAACAATTTCAAAGAACAAAGAGACTAGGAAGACAGTAAGTTTTTATGGAAAGAAGACTGAAATACAGGAGAGTGAAAAAAGAAACCATTACTTAAAACACTGCAATCAACTTCTTTGCTGGTCTATTTCACTTCTTCTTATTTCTTTGAAACAAAGTCAGACTGAAGGAAAGAGCACTTTTTGCTTGCTGAAAAGGATGGAACATGACATCACTACAGGCAAGACAAATCGAATAATCTTTAATTGAAGTAGAAAACACTGGAATAAAAGCTATCAGAAGGCAAAATCTGGCTATTTCTAAATAATCATTTGGTAAACCTAAAAAGTATTTTTATATTCCTAAAATATTTGAAAGGTCTTAGACTTAACATTAACAATAGTTTTGTTTAATGTAACCTTCACCTTATCAAATATTTCAAGTTTTGTGACTTTAAAAATAATGCTCAAAGAGATATTTTCTAAATTGCTCAAAGAAACAAAAACTGCAAACTATATTACTGTAAGCACAAATTACTCAATTTTAACAAACCATACTTAAGGCACTAAGACATTAGGCAGGATTTTCCTATTCTGTGTAACTTGGCTATCCTCAAGGCATTTAAAATTGCCTGAACTCCATTTCATTTAAAATTTAAATGAAAATGTAAGTTTCATTTAAACTCCTATCATTTAAAACTGCTGAAACTGTTATATAATTTTAACTGCATTTCATGTTTTTTATGCATGTAAGTATTTATTAGTGATAGCATGAAATTAATTTTTCAGTTACTCCAAAGCAGAAATAGCAAGAAGTGTTTGCAGGGGAAATCTTCAATGGAGTCTTAAATGTAGTGTGTAACAGGCTGCCCTCTAGTGTCATTTTAGCTTAACTTTGAAAGTAGAAAACACCTTATTTTCAAATGCTACTCAAACAAATTTAGATTCAAAGTATTTCAAACTAATGTAAGAAAGCAATCACCTTATGTGCTACAAAAAAAAAATCTTAAAATATCTAAAACAGGTTAGAGGTAGGGATCATTAACCACTAGTAAAGTCAATACTGGAAGAGATAAGATTTCCCAGTTCCCTGCAACACCTTTTAATTTTCGGAACCAACACTTTAAGACCTTTTTTTTTTTAAGAGACAGAATCTTGCTGTGTCACCCAGGATGGAATGCAGTGGTGCAATCACAGCTTACTGCAGCCTCGAATTCCTGGGCTCGAGGAATCCTCCCGCCTCAGCCTCCCAAGTAGCTGGGACTACACGTGTGTGCCATCACATCTGGCTAATTTTTAATTTTTTTGTAGACACAGGGTCTTGTTATGTTGCCCAGGCTAGTCTTAACTCCCAGCCTCAAGCTACCCTCCCACCTCGGCCTCCCAAAGTTCTGGGACGACAGGTGTGTACCACCGTGCTGGTCTAGAAAAGACTCAGAATTCTAACACTATTTTACATGCCCTGTTCTTCCATGTAACAGGGGCTATGCAGAAATGAACTTGAGTGCAGCACAGTTTTAGATGCCTGTACAATATAACAAGGTGGAACTTCAAACAACTGTCCCCAAAGAGAGACCCTTGGGATCACTGGCAAATCACCACTCTTACTTAGTAGACCTCATATGTGTGCTAACCAATGCCCAAGGAAGGGAACGCTCCAGAAGGAATATAGTCATTAGCTTATCTATCATTTTAATGTTTTATCACATTGTGCCAACAGCCACTGAGCACATGACATGCCTTTAAAAGCCATCCACATAAAGATGGCTAGAACATGAACTTGTTGCACATTGTTGATCAAAGAATAACTAAAAAGTAATGTAGCTCATAATGTAGATGTGAAAAGTCCTACATAGTATTAGTTTATTTTCTTTCTTTACTTGAGACAGGGTCTCACTCCATCACCCAGGCTGGAGTGCAGTGGCATAATCATGGCTCACTGCAGCCTTGACTTCTCAGGGTCAAGTGATTCTCCAACCTCTCAGCCTCTGGGGCAGGTGGGACCACAGACATGTGCCACCATGTCTGGCGAATTTCTTAATTTTTTTGTAGAGACAAGGTCTTACTATGTTGCCCAGGCTGGTCTTGAACTCCTGGCCTCTAGCGATCCCCCTACTTTGGCCTCCCAAAGTGCTGAGATTACAGGCATGAGCCACCACATCCAGCACTATTAGTAATTTTCTATCATGTGTTTCACCTGACTTTATCTAAATTTCCATGTGTCTATTCGCTTTATGCAGTTCCAAATAAAGATGTATATTTAGTAATGTTTTATTAGATTGTATTTTGGTCTTCTGAAAATGAACTAAAATGCCATGATGTTATGAAGCTCCCAATAGTGACAAAAGAAAATAGTTTATTGTGGTTAGGTTTCGTTAGTATTAATGTACCATGCTACAAATGCCTTTAAAAAAGTTTGTTAATAATAAGGCCTTCTTAAAATTTCTCCTAAAAGAAAAAAGGATGTACTAGAAATAACTTAAATGACTAAATTTCTAAAACTACCTTCCCATTTGATTAACTTGTGACTAATAAAATATGTCACACTAATTCACTGTTATCCTGGAAGGCAAGTAAGTTACAGAATATAGCATGTAACAATGACAGGAGCTGAAGTTTTATAATTGTTTTACTCCATGTAATCTTGAAAAACAAGAATTTTTAATCCTTTTATAATGTGATCATCATCATAATTATTCCAATTTATAATGGGAGGAATTTCTATCAAAACTGATTAAGTCTTATTTTTAAAAAGACCATATGTGTTACCAAATATCAAGTATACGCTCATTTACTACTTTAAAAAAGAATCTTTCATGGTTTTAGTCTTTTTTAAAAAACCATATAATTGTGTATATCAACCACTAATTTTTAACTCAATTGCTATGGTTAAAATATTTTATTAATTATATATTTTATACACCATGGAACAGTCACCATAGTTCAATGAAGCCTCACAAATTATTGTTCATTTTAGCATTTTAGAATTTTCACAGAATGAAATGTATTCAGAAAAGTGATGCATGTCAGAAACATAACTTTGACATTTATGATAAGAACTAAATAAAAATGCTGTAAAGAGGGACCATATACAGAATGGAGACACACTGGTATAACTATACAAAGAAAGAAAACCGTAAAAGCCAAACTTGCTTTTAACCTCAAGACCAATAAAGCATTAAGCTTCATGTAAGCTTAACACCTTCACCTTACTATTCTTAGTTTTGGTAGAGAAGAAAAAGAAGAAAATTGATTATCTGTTCTGGTCTACTATGATCCAGGTACTATGCTGGGTATTTTTTTTACATCTTCCAATCTTTGTGGTAAAAGATGCTGAGCTCTCAATAGCTCCTTTTTGCTGATGGGGAAGCACACTTAGAGGAGTCAGGCAGTTGTGCACAGCTCACAAAACAGTCAATGTCGGGTCAGGCTATCTGATCCTCCCCATGGGACAGTGGTCTTCCAGAGTTCTTCCACTCTCACAAATCAGTCTCATCTATAACCAGTAACTAAGGCTCCACAGACCATTACAACAATGATTCTCAAATGAAATGGAGGAACCCGGCCGGGCGCGGTGGCTCAAGCCTGTAATCCCAGCACTTTGGGAGGCCGAGGTGGGTGGATCACGAGGTCAGGAGATCGAGACCATCCTGGCTAACATGGTGAAACCCCGTCTCTACTAAAAATACAAAAAAAACTAGCCGGGCGTGGTGGCGGGCGCCTGTAGTCCCAGCTACTCGGAGGCTGAGGCAGGAGAATGGCGTGAACCTGGGAGGCGGAGCTTGCAGTGAGCCGAGATCGCGCCACTGCACTCCAGCCTGGGTGACACAGCGCGAGACTCCGTCTCAAAAAAAAAAAAAAAAAAGAAATGGAGGAACCCTTGTAGTAAGAGCTCCCGAGGAGATTCCTTTCCCACTCCAGCCTAGAACCCTGTCCTTTCTACACATGATGCCTACGAGGCCCAAGGACTTCGGGGAAATAAAGGCCCTGGTGACTTAGGAACGTGGTAAGTAGGTCTTTGACTTTCATTCCCAGGTCCTTTCTACACTGCTACAAAGCCTCCAGCATTAACATTATTTTACTGGCTAAAGCAAAGTTTCGGTTCAAAACAATTCTGGAAAAAAATAAGTATATAAAAAGTATAATATTATATAAACATATTATATAATATCCATTAAAAAGGTAAACAGTGTACACAAGAAGGGCCAAAGTGTGGATGAAACTGTATGAATTATTCTTACTTTGCAACTACTACAAGTATTAAAAATAAAGAAATACTATACATTTACAATAGTTAATGATCTTAAACTTACCTTAAGCCATAGCAAGGCAAAGTGAGGAGCCTGAATAGTGCCAGGAAAACTCTTAAAGGAAGCAGGGTGAACACATACAAAAACGCATCCAGGCACAGAAAGATTCCAAAAACCATCAGCTGAATTTTAAGGAGAGAAGAAAAAAAAGTATTTTAAAAATACTTGTAAATGAAAATTTCAAACAATCAGAATTTCTAAACATTGTAAAAAATTAATTTCTTAAAACTTAGTCCTGGGAATAACAAATTAATAGTTCTACTCTTCAAAGAATGAGTCTGTGCTTCCTGCAGAGCCTTTGGTTTACGACTCACAGAAGAAATTACTCAAAAACAAGTTTTCCTTGACCATAGTTAATGGCACATAATCTGATGTGTCTTTCTGAGTACTTCCTCAAGCTCTAAAGATATTATGGAAAATCTTTATTCCTCATAATTTTGCTACTCCTATTTATTAAGGTGCTTTGTTGATGGGAAAGGCTGGAATATATATTGAGTTACAACATTGTTTATGTTAAAAACATGCAAACTGATCACTAAGTTTAACACAATTTCACGTGCACTGAAACTTGCTGCACTCAGAAGGCCTTATTCTTAATTCCAGGACCGGCCTTTTAGCGTTTATATTTCTCCTTCTTTCTTGAGTACTTGTCATACCCTTTCTTTTTGTGGTAACATTAGACACGCTTACTTGTTAAGTTTAGGACTATACTACACAGAAAGAGGGTGAAGTCTTTTGAGGACTTGGCCAAGTAGCCACCCCTAGTGGTGACTTTCTGTTTGTCTGGCACACAATTATGGTATGATACACATGCCCGAGCCACAGCACTCCATGTATCTTTAGTCAATAAATTGCTCTACCTCCACAGATTGAAATTCACAGTTACAGACTGAACTGTGTCCCCTATCAAGTTCCTAAGTTGGTACCTCAGAATGTAACCGTGCTTGGACATGGGGTCTTTAAAGAGGTAATTTAAGTTTAGGTCTTTAGGGTGGACCCTAATCCAATATGACTGGAGTCCTTATAAAAGAGGAAATTTGGACACAGGCACAGACAGAGGAGAGATATGAAGACCGAGGGGGAAGGCAGCCATCTGCAAGTCAAGAGAGGCCTCAGAAGAAACTACCCCACTGACACTTGATCGCAGACTTCCAGCTTCCAGAACTGCAAGATAATAAATGTGTGTTGTTTAAACCACCTAGTATATGGTACTTTGTTATGGCAGCCCTAGCAAACGAATTCACATGTCTTTAAATCGAAGAGTACATTTTATTAATTTTGGATAAAAATGTCTCAAAAATATGCTACACATATTTTTGCCAGATTTCTTAATCTGAATATATAGGCCCTTTTTTTGTTTTCCACAATTTAGACTCATTATGAACAGCAATGAAAATATGATGCTAAACCCCTAAATCACGTGCTGGTAGATTAACATAGAGTCCCAGTGTTGCATGTTTTCTTGTCTCACACACAAAGCAGTGCAGTAGGAGGTTGAGCAAGGTCCATGTAGATAGAGTTTGTGGTCCTTTTCTATTACTCTCCTGTCACTGAGAAGCCTTTCCCTCCTTGTGAGTGGACTGCTGGTTCAGTACTGAGGGCAGAAGCTGCCAGAAACCCGATGTCCCCAGAAGGAGAGTTTGTGATCCACTAAAAAGTTGCAACTCAGTCTGAAAATCAGGTCCCGGATAGGCAGCCAGGTTGAAATTTAGTTCCCTCCTAGGCAGCTTCCAAGGCACCGAAGACAGTTCAGCTCAAACTGACTACAGAAAGCTTTGCAGAAGAGTACACGAGTGGGAACACACTGGAAAGTTCTTTATGCAAAACTGAATTAAAAGTACTGAGTTACAAACTGCAGGCATACAATTTTAAAATATTTTCTAAAATTCATTCTCAGCAGTGATTTATCAAAATGTACATGTTTCAAAATAATATTATGCTTAATAATCTTCAGGTACCTCTTTAAATAAAAAGAGTTATACGTGAAAACAATCAAAGGACAGAAACGTTCACCAGGCTCTCTGTCTCTGAGAGATCTTGTCTGGAAGGACTTCAGAAGCCTTCTACAGGTTCTGGGCAATGCAACCGGGCACTGGCCAGGTGCTGGCTCCGCCTGTGCATGGCCGCAGTCCAGTACCACCCACACTCTGCAGTGAGACAAGGAGTTGGCACAGGTTCTTGAGTGGTGGAGGCAGAGCCAGAACTTCACTCAGTCTGCAGAAAACTGAAGCACTATTTCCACTAATGACACTTTCATTCATCCTTCTGGCCTCACTCACCACTGGATTTATCATTATACATATTTCAAAATAAAGTTTAGCCTAAGTTTTTAACATCTGAACTTTAATGCTAAGGAAATTACAAAATGAAAATTATCCTATGACATTGTAAGTAAACAAAATATTCACTTGTGAAAACTTCTGCCACCTGCTCTTATCATATTTATTTTGAACCTAATAGAACTGCAACTTAGCATCTGAAAAATACCTGCCTCAAGAGAAATAAATCAATAAAAACGCCAGCCTCTTTCTGTGGGGAATGAAGCAGGGTTTCTTTACCTTTTAAAAAATCTATGCTTCCCTTTATGACAAAAATCTCCTGCTCTTCTTTTAGTACCATTTGAAATTTGAAAATAAATAATATGTTATGGCTAAAATGAAAGCAGCATAATGATTTTGCAATATGCCTCCTTGAATTACACCAAGCATCTTCTGGAAATTCTGAATACCATCTCCTCCACCACAACCACCAAATACCACCTGCTAGTCAAGGATCGCTGGTCTAGAGTGTTACAAAGTAGGAGTAAAGAGGCTTAGTCTCACTTTTATAAAGCTCGTGCTAAAGCTCTGGGTCTACTTCTGTAAAAGCAGAGACCATATCTTGCTTAATATTGCACTGGGAGGAAAGACATCTTCTCCAGGGAATTCACGACCCAGTGAGCTTGACACAAACCGCACAGTGCTAGATGAATGATGTGCTCTGGAAACACAGGTGAAGAGCTTAGGTCTGTAAAGTGTGTGTATTTGGGGGTAGGGGAGAGTGGCATGAACACCACAGGGAAGGAGGTGCAAGAGATAGCAGAGATGTCCCACAGAGGAGAGAAGATGGGCACTAGATTTTGCCAGGAAGTAAAGAGGACAGAATTCCAAACCAAGGGAAGAGCATGCACAGGTACAATGTGAGTAGCCACCTAGCAGTGAGGTTAGGCTATAATCATTATGCAAGAGGCATGAAAATCACGTTTAGCTCATTGTTAAGGAGCTCAAATTTTTATTCTTAGGTTCCAAGGCATCCTTGCCTTTGGATTGTTTTCACTTATAGCTCTTTTATTTTAAAGAGGTACCTGAAGGTAATTAGATTATTTTGAAACATGTACATTTGGATAAGTCTCTGCTGAGAATGAATACATTCTCAATAAACCCACATGTAGGGATCAATTATTAGCAGAATGTCAAGGGGAACAGGGTATCAATAAGAAAACTATAAATGACTGACTTTGAAAGCAATTACTACAGATTCAAGGTTATCCCTACAATAAAATCATTTTAATCATCTGAATTAAAAAATTCATGCCCCAGAAAGTCTATACTCTAGGAGATGGCCAAAAAAGGGATTATCATGAGCCAGGTTCTCTTATGATAGGCAAGCTATGTAAGCATATGTAGCCATGGAAAACAAATCAATTGAAGATTTTAATTTGTAGGACTATGCACATAGAATGATCCTGAGACTTTCTTGTTTCTCTTATTTCCAATCCATGTTGAATAGTGTTATATTTTAAGCATGTGACCCACATTAACTTAATCCTCACAACAACCCACCAGGCAGGAACTATTACTTGGTATTTTGCTTGCTACAGACAGGGCTTAGACAGGGCTGTGGTGCTCCTGCTGAGAGGCTGGAATGATGCAGCAAGGCAGGAGTGCCCTCAGGGTTCAAGGCAAGACTGAGTGTCACCTAAGGAACAGAGGTCTTAGCTGCTGCTCTAGGCTCTGATCCTATACCTTCTATCTAGGATCAGATCGAGGGAGCGGTCAGCACGCAGCACCACAGCAGGCTGCAGCGAGCAGAGAGGACAGTACAGAAGGAGAAGAGCCATCAGTGTGAATAATCACAGCAGCCTGATACAGGACAATGAAAGTCAGAGAAGAGAAATTTAAGACTGTTTCCAAAGCTGAAATGAGAGAAATAAGTGACTGATTCACAAAGATAAACATGGCCCCATGGTGCCAAGTTCAAAAATTATCTTTTAAATACATCAATAAATGCGGTAGAGGCCTAAAGGCTTTGCTGGCTTGTCTTAGAACTATCTGATGGGTCTCACATGCCGAACCTCCCCTGAAAAAATTAAGAATGGTAGGACAGTTGCAGAAAGAACGTGGAAGCTATGGTCACCACCACCACAAGCAGGGTGTGACAAGCCTCAGAGAGAAGGGGAGAAGCACCAGCCAAGGCTGCTGAGATTTGAGACATGTGGATCCCTACTGGCTTTCCTGATTCTCAGCAGCCACACGGGGGGTACATCTGCGCAAGGGTGTGTCACCAGCAAGAGCTGCATCATGAGAAGAATTTAGAGGGATGATTCTCTAAACATGTTTTCATGAAATTAGAAACTGACTAGGATGCCCAAGAAAACACTGCCACAAATATGGGTCTGAGTAAGTACTCTCTATTAGTTTCACAGTGAAATCCCAGGACTGTTTTACTGAAATAAAGGGGAAACAATAGTCATTATGTTTTCTTAACATATACCTCACACTGACATAAAACAAAAAGGCTTTATATGACATTTTAAGTCCATTCATTTGAAATGAACTTTTGGATTATTTTTTTCCTAAATGCTAACCCCGCCACGACCTTCAAAAAGGCAAAACTAAGTTATTCAACTAGACATTTAAATCTTTCCATCTGCCCTCACCATTCCTCATAGGCAAACTCATTCAATGAATCATGCACTATCAGACCTCTTGACATGACCTAAGTCCAACCTTCTAATCATAGAAGAAAGTAAAACCCAAGAGAGATTTGATGCCTTGATCAGGCCTCAGCTATTACAAACAGACTCAAGAAGCTAAGGTTGTTGATGCTTGATTACAAATAATTCCCCTGTATGTCAGTAACC